ATAGAAATAGGCTCCGTCCGTAGAGGTGCAACGATACCTTTCGATGCATCGAAAACCAGTTTTATGAGCGCCGATTCGATTCCCGATACCAACTACAACATTTTCGATTCGATTCCCCACCCAAAAATAAACATGGAAAAAAGTGAGAGTTTTAGTCTTTCCCTTCGCGCTTTATCACGTTGCATACGATTGGGCCAGTTTAAACTCAGTCATCCAATCAGTGGGCGCGTAATGTTTTATTTTCGGCAAACAAATCAAAATGGCTATCAACATAAATATTGATGAAATAAAATTAAAAATCCTCCTAAAAAAATTAAAAATCAAAGGTTTGCGAACACTTTAGGTTTCGGGAAGGCCAGGACACGGATTAAGCTACTTGCAAAAATATGCTTTACGGACGTGTCATATCCAAAGTCCGACAGTACGTCTAATTTAATGGCAACAATGAAAACGAAAACACGATGTGGACTTGGTTTTGGTTAACTTTATCCGTGTCCTGGCCTTCCCAAAATAAGTTTGATTAGTACTTCAGTAAGTATTGGGATTGATTATTATTTCCCTTAGTCAAGTGTGAAAAAAAGTGATAATTTATTGAATTTCATTTTTTCTGTATTGTTTAACTAGACTAAGAAGTATTGTGTGACAACACTGACATTAGGATTGATTATTCATTTTACATATTATGGGAATTATGAAACAGAATATCTGAATTATCAGTTTCTGACAACCTTGTGAAACTTTGTTCAATGTTCATTTATTATTTACATTAAAATTTACATACTTTGGTTAAATTCCTAGTCCAGCAGAAGGTATCTGTGATAGTCATGTAATGAGATGAATGATTATTTGCCTGATTTTAAATTATTTCTCTAAATAGACAAAGAGCTTTTTATTCTCATAAACACAATTATTAAGTCAAATAAGTTTATATAATAGTTATATTACAACAGACAAGCAAAGCACTAGGTTGAAGGCCACTCACTTTTGGAGCAGACAAGCAGAATTATACACCAAAGATAAATTAGTAATCAGAAATGTATCGAAGCGAAAAAAATCGAATCGGAGTGTCTAAAATCGAAATCGAATCGAACATTTAGTGTATCGTTGCAGCCCTATCCGTCCGTCTGTCCATCCGTCTGTCCGCACTCACAGGACAGTAATTATGTGGCTAGAGGGACAATAGGTAACTGTTCTTTCTCTTTGATATCATTCATTCCTTAATGCTTTTATGTGGCTATTTCCTTTTGTGTGGCTAAAAAGAACAATAGAGAGAACAATAGAGTAGCCACATAATTACCCTCTTTTTAGAACGTCCGTCCGTCAATCTGTCCATCTGTCTGTCTGTCCGTCACACTTTTGTGTCCGGTCCATAACGTTGTCATTTATCAAAGGAATTTGAAATAACATAGCACAAATGTTGTTATAATAAGACGATGTGTCATGCGCAACAATCAGACTCCTACCTCCAAGGTCAAGGTCACACTTGCTCATTCAAGGTCAACATTGTCTATTTGATGGTATATCATATGTCGTGCCGTGTTTCTTATCTTTGAAGGGATTTTGTAAATACTTGCCACAATTGTTCACAATAATGAGACGATGTGTCATGCGCAACAACCGGTCACCTACCTCCAAGGTCACATTTGGAGGTCAAAGATTAACATAGTCAATTACAGGGTATATTTTGTGTCCGGTCCATAACTTTTTCATTTATCAAAGGAATCTGAAATAACTTTGCACAAATGTTTGTTATAATAAGACTATGTGACATGTGCAACAACCAAACCCCTACCTCTAGGGTCAAGGTCGCTTTTGCTCATTCAAAGTCAACATTATCTATTTGATGGTATATGTTGTGTCCGGTCCATAACTTTCTTATCTTTGAAGGGATTTTGTAAATACTTGCCACAATTGTTCACAATAATGAGACAATGTGTCATGCACAACAACCGGTCACCTACCTCCAAAGTCAAGGTCTCACTTGGAGCTCAAAGATTAAAATAGTCTTTTACAGGGTATATTTTGTAGGGTATATTTTGTGTCCAGTCCATAACTTTTTCATTGATCAAAGTATTTGCCTACTTTAAGTTCAAGGTCACACTTAGAGGTCAAAAGTTAACATAGTCGGTTTTAGGGTATATTTTGTGTCTGATCTAGAACTTCTTCAGGATTTTGAAATAACTAGGCACAAATATTCACAATAATAAGACAATATGTCAGGTATAACACCTGCACCCTACGTTAAGGTCAAGGTCACACTTAGAGGTCAAAGGTTAACACTGAGTCTGTTATATGGTTTTTTTGTGTCCATCTATAACTTCTACTTAGTTCAAGGGATTTTGAAAATACTTGGCACAAATAGTAATATTAATAAGATGATATGTCATGCACAACACCTACACCCCTTCCTCCAAGGTCAAGGTCACACTTATAGGTCAAAGTGTTTACATGATAGAATTTTAAATTCTGTGTTTCATTTTACTAGTATTTTTTCATAAATTTATTGTTGCATTGGCAGATCTAACATGGATCATAATTTTGGACTGAAAGCCCTAAAATCCATACCTCAATCTTTCGAAATACGATTAAATGTTGCACAATTTTATGCTTTATATAAAACTTCCCCGAGGTGGGGGACCTTGGTAACTCTGTTACAAATTCTTGTATAAACATGAAGTGGAAGTGGTTTGTCAGCCATTTTTATGAAAGCATGGAGTCGAGCACATTTCAGATTGTTCATCTTATGATTTTAACTGTAATATTCTTGTCACTTGTTGTAATTGGTATAATAGTGTTTATAGTATATAAGAGATGGTATGCCTTATTTTTTAGTTGGAATAGATATCTTCAATAAAAGAGGTACCTCATGCTTATTGATATCATAAGTGAATTATTAAATTTTTCTCCTTTTTTTTTCTAAAATTTGTATAGTTGAGTCAAATTTTAATTCAAAGTTCAAGAGTATTAATATTGACTTTTGGGTAGGGAGAAGAAAAGTCATTTAATTCTCTAATCCAATATTTAATTCTCAGAAGTATAACAGAAATAATAACAATAAAACTTTTTTTTTAAGTTTACTGTGCTTTTGATGTCTTATATATTCCTAAGCAGTCTTGCGGTGGTATTAATCACATTTAGTGATAGTTCTAGTCACTTTTGCTAAGAAGTTAAAATACAGCTGCCAACTGTGAAATAATTAAAAGTCTGTTTTGCCCATATGCATAAAGATTTTACAGAGTATGCAAGGGAGATTACTGATATGATAGAATTTTAATAAGAAAAACATAAATTTCATTATGGCTGAACTAAGTTGCATTTAATCAATTTCATTCAAATAGAAATAGCTTTATTTCGTGAATATAAGAGATTTTGTATCAACTCAAGTTTTTACTTTGTTATTTAGATGACCAAAAGTGAGTTTTATAAGCATTAATATTTTGAGCCTCATTGTGGTGCAACTCCGCCTTTTGGTCATTCATACATCAACAAAAACGTAAATAAACATGGTAATCATCAAGTAAATCCTCGGTAAAGTTTAGTTTCAATTGTATAATGGTACATTTCCACACTACATAGAATCTGTTCAGCTTTTATTTGTGTATTTCTATTGTCACAGTGAAACAATTGTTTTCACACCGGTATAAATGGGAAAAAACGGCATTTTTCGTGTTTCATATTATAGCTTTCTATTAACTAGTACACCTGCATGACCTTTTAATAGAATTCATAATAGTATGAATTAGCATATAACTAAATAACATTAGTGTTACCATGGAGTTTTCCTCTTAAAAATCTTTTTTTCAGAGCATTTTTATCAAACTTTCAACACTAATGTTCAAAAAGGATATATAGACACAGTGTTTTTTTTCACCAAAATATTCGGCGAAATTCGGCCCCATTCCCCCCTCAAAATAGTATGTTTTTTTCCCCTCTCAAAGTCAAATTTTCCCCCCATATGGCAGCCAAAATTTGCCTGCAATGAATACCATTTTTTTTGCATATAACTGCCGAATAATGTTTTATTTTAAGCCTGTAAGACTTACTGTTAAGCAAAGTTGTTTACAATTGTTCCCAGGTACATAAGGGGAGCTACTCACGGCTTCCTAACAAGTTTAACATGCGACACTTTAAATTCTGCTGTCAATATTTTAGATCCGTATATTAAGAAAATGCGACGTATTTTAAACTTGTGTTGCTAGAGTTGCTCCCCTTTTCTACTCACCGGAAAGAAAACAATGTCAAACAAAAGTAAATCTTACAGTCATTGTATACACACCGGTCTCTTAAATATCGGTGTACACAATGATCTTACAGTGTTAAGTGGTGTATTAAAATATGCATTGGATTCGTTTTTGTTTCTCCTCATTTGTGAAGAAATAAAATTCCCCCTCCTATTGCATTTTTCCCCCTCCAAACGGCACCGACCCCCTTCCCCCAAAAGTGAAAAAAAACACTGAGACATATAAAGTTATGGGTTTTCATCGGACAACAAAATATTTTCACATTTTTGTTAAATGCAGCTTTAAACAATTATCACACATGCATTCCAAACCTGCTCTTGATAAAGAAAGCTGTGTTGCTTTTCTTTGACTGGCTTCATACGAATTCAATAACAGTCTATTTTAAGAAGAGAATTTAGAACTGCAATATCAATTTTTACCCTAAACACTATTCAGACTTTGCATTATACTCCTTTTTCTCTGAAATTGAGGAGTAAAAACCCCTTTGCCAAAAAATTAATTGGAGTTCTGCACCTCTTCTGTAGCTCAGACCTCTCAGATAAAAATCTGACACGAGGACCAATGTGGTTAGAGGCCAGAACAACTGTCAAAAATGCTTATTTGAAGCCTCAAATCTAAGAAAGCACTCTTTGTTTTATTTGATAAAAACAAAAATGACCACCTCAAATAAAAAAAAAAGCCTTCTTTACAAAATCCTAATTACAACCCTGCACGTGATTAGAAGAATTCTTATTTCAAAATGTTTTTCATTTATATTAGTGTTGATGCTACAAGTGAATTAGATGTGGGGCCTCGACTAGGTCGTCTGGTGAATCACGGCCGTAAAGATAGAAATTGTGTTATGAAAACCCTAGAGTTCAACAAAAGACCGTATCTTTGCTTGTTTGCTGTGAAAGATATTCCTCAAGGTGAAGAATTACTGTATGATTACGGCATTAAGGATATACCTTGGGAGGTATGTATGCTTAGAGCATTTGTGTAATTTTTTTGTGATCCCTTCTAAATAGCTGAGATTCAACATTTCCTTGCTATTAGTTTTATGCTATTTGTGTTTCTAATCATGTGTGATTTAAAACCAATTTTAGAAAGGAAACAACTTTTTACAAAATGAATATTTCATTTTGCCATACAGAGTTGTTTAAAGCTACTGGCCTCCAGATAAGCAAATAAAAAGAAATGAAATTAAATTGCATGTTACTGATAAATACTGATTTAGTCAGGTTTAATGTGTATATCATAAAATGTCATTTCTATAAAAATGTGATAGACGGCAAATTTTTTGGGCAGATTTTGTAAATTAGTATTTTCCTGTTATAGATTTTAGATCACATATTTGTTTTTAGCTCACCTGTCGCAAAGTGACAGGGTGAGCTTTTGTGATCGCTTTTCGTCTGGCGTCCGTCCGTTGTCTGTCCATCGTCCGTAAACTTTTACTTTAAATGACATCTCCTCATAAACCACTAAGCCAATTTCATCCAAACTTCACAGGAATGTTCCTTTGGTGGTCACCTTTGAAAATTGTTCAAAGAATTTAATTCCATGCAGAACTCTGGTTGCCATGGCAACCAAAAGAAAAAACTTAAAATATCTTCTTCTAAAAAAACCAAAGAGCTAGAGCTTAGATTTTTGGCATGAAACATCTTCTGGTGAGTGTATACCAAGTTTGTTCAAATTAAAGCCCTTGGGTCAAAATTGGCCCGGCACCAGGGGGTCATTGATTTTCCCTATATGCATATAGTAAAAACTTAAAAAAATATTCTTTTAAAAAACCAAAAGAGCTAGAGCTAAGATATTTAGCATGAAACATCTTCTAATGGATATCTACCAAGATTGTTCAAATTAAAGCCCTGGGGTTAAAGTTGGCCCCACCCCAGGGGGTCATTGATTTTCCATTTATACATATAGTAAAAACTTAAAAAATCTTCTTTTAAAGAACCCAAAGAGCTTGAGCTAAGATATTTAGCATGAAACATCTTCTAATGGGTGTCTACCAAGTTTGTTCAAATAAAAGCCCTGGGGGCAAAATTTGCCCGACCCTGGGGGTCATTGATTTTCCAAATTTCCTTATATGTGTAAAGGAAAAACTTAAAAAATCTTCTTTGGAAAAAACCAAATAGCTAGAGTTTAGATATTAAGCATGAAACATCTTCTAGTGATTTTCTACAAAGTTTGTTCAAATAAAAGCCCTGGGGTCAAAATTGGCCCCACCCCGGAGGTCATTCATTTTCCCTATATGTGTAAAACTATTGCACAAATTGAAAAATCTTCTTTGAAAAAACTCAAATAGCAAGAGTTTAGATATTAAGCACGAAGCATCTTTCAAGGTTTGTTCAAATAAAAGCCCTGGAGTCAAAATTGGCCCTGCCCCGGGGGACATTGATTTTCCTTATACGAGTATAGCAAAAACTTAAAAATCTTCTTTTAAAAAACCCGAATAGCTAGAGTTTAGATATTAAGCATGAAACATTTTCTAGTAAGTGTCTACAAAGATTGTTCAAATAAAAGCCCTGGGGTCAAAACTGGCCCTGCCCCTGGTGTGTCATTGTTTTTAACTGTATGTGTAAAGAAAAACTTAAAAAAAACTTCTTTAAAAAATACCAACGAGCTAGACCTTAGATGTTTAGCATGAAACATCTTCTAATGGTTGTCTACAAAGTTTGTTCAAATAAAAGCCCCAGGCTTTAAACTGGCCCTGCTCCGGGGGCCTATGTACAGGTGAGCGACTTCAGGGCCATCATGGCCCTCTTGTTTAGTTTGTATTGGGTTTTACGCCAATATTCCACATGATCTACTTTAGATCAGAGGTGAGAGACAAATGGCCATTAGACACAGTGTCCATGATCAATTGTCACAGAGAAATTTGCGCCCAGCCCGGGTATGGAACCAGCAACCTAAGGATTACTAATCCACTGCTCTACCTATTAATCTAACTGGGCGTGCTGGAGAGATTACATATAAACCGACAGTTTGGTAGCATTTAAAGATGTACTTTTTAGCTCGACTATTCGATAAGAATAAGTAGAGCTATTGCAGTCACCCGAGCGTCGGCGTCGGCGTCGGCGTCGGCGTCGGCGTAACCACTTATGTTAAAGTTTTTGTAATAGTTCAAATATTTTCAAAGTCCATTGACATATGGCTTTGAAACTTTGCACACTTGTTCACCATCATGACCCCAACCTGTAGACAGGAGGAGGTAACTCTATCAAGCATTTTGACAGAATTATGCCCCTTTTTCGACTTAGAATTTACGTTAAAGTTTTTGTAATAGTTCAAATATTTTCAAAGTCCATTGACATATGGCTTTGAAACTTTGCACACTTGTTCACCATCATGACCCCAACCTGTAGACAGGAGGAGGTAACTCTATCAAGCATTTTGACAGAATTAATGCCCTTTTTCCGACTTAGAATTTACGTTAAAGTTTTTGTAATAGTTCAAATATTTTCAAGTCCATTGACATATGGCTTTGAAACTTTGCACACTTGTTCACCATCATGACCCCAACCTGTAGACAGGAGGAGGTAACTCTATCAAGCATTTTGACAGAATTATGCCCCTTTTTCGACTTAGAATTTACGTTAAAGTTTTTGTAATAGTTCAAATATTTTCAAAGTCCATTGACATATGGCTTTGAAACTTTGCACACTTGTTCACCATCATGACCCCAACCTGTAGACAGGAGGAGGTAACTCTATCAAGCATTTTGACAGAATTATGCCCCTTTTTCGACTTAGAATTTACGTTAAAGTTTTTGTAATAGTTCAAATATTTTCAAAGTCCATTGACATATGGCTTTGAAACTTTGCACACTTGTTCAACATCATGACCCAACCTGTAGACAGCAGGAGGTAACTCTATTAAGCATTTTGACAGAATTATGCCCCTTTTTCGACTTAGAATTTACGTTAAAGTTTTTGTAATAGTTCAAATATTTTCAAAGTCCATTGACATATGGCTTTGAAACTTTGCACGCTTGTTCAACATCATGACCCCAACCTGTAAACAGGAGGAGGTAACTCTATCAAGCATTTTGACAGAATTATGCCCCTTTTTCGACTTAGAATTTACGTTAAAGTTTTTGTAATAGTTCAAATATTTTCAAAGTCCATTGACATATGGCTTTGAAACTCTGCACACTTGTTCACCATCATGACCCCAACCTGTAAACAGGAGGAGGTAACTGTATCAGGCATTTTTTTTACTATCAAGCACTAAGAATAGTCGAGCATGCTGTCCTACCGACAGCTCTTGTTTTTATTAAATTGAGATGATTTGATGATGGTCACTTCCATTTCTAATTTTTATGCACATTAATATTGAAGCAACTTCTGAAGTATGTTGGAAACCTCTATATAGAGATGAGATTGTTCAGATCAGCTTTTATCTGGAGTGTGGGACCTATAGCATATGAATTTCAGATGCTATAGTGCATTTTCCTTTTGAGCTGGCTAATTAATTTCTTTTTTTTCATTTACAGAGAAAAACTGTCACAGGTAAATACAGTTCATGCTGTTGAATGCACTGTTGTATGGTTTAAATCTTCCAACACCCTAATAAAATTAATGAAGCTCCTAATGTATGTCCAAAATCAGTCAAGAAATTGTAGTTTTATATATTTTCTTATTCTCCTGTTCAATTTTATTGAAGGAGGTCATTCAAATTTTTGTGTTTCAAAATTTATGTTTCTTCTATCTTGATATAAAACCATACAATAGTGCCTGTGAGTTCAGTTTATGTTGAAAAATTCATTGCATTGATATTGTTCTTTGATTATGCTCTACATATATTCATTTTACAGAGACTCATTGTATATACAGTGCCAGTATATATGAATTTATAAGTCAGTATGTTGCATTAGAAAGTGGGTTAGTCTGATAATTCTCTCGATCAGGTTTTACAATTTTTGTGCCTCCTCTACGGAGTAGTGGCGACATATAGGGATCACTTTTCCATTGTCTGTCCATACAAACCCACAGGTACTTGTGTGACTTGGAGAACAATGGGTAACAGTAAATTCTCTTTGATCCGATTCATTCCGTCTAGTTGTGTGTCTTTTTTATGCCTTGTGTGACTAAAAATCATATTAAATGGCAAAAAGAAAAAAGGAATAGTCACATAAGTACCATTTTGTGAGTATGTCCATCTGTCAGTCCGTATGGACTACTCCTCATAAACTACAGGGGCAATCTCATCTAAACTTTACAGGAATGATCAATACCAAGTCTACTTGTGCATATCCTCAGCATTTTTGGTTCTATAAGTTTTGTCGGAGTTAAGGCCCTTTTATAATTTTTATACCCCCAAAAACCATCTGTCGGTCCACATCATGGTTTCCAGACGATAAGCGTTTGGAGTGAACTTAAAAAAATCTTCTTCTGAAAAACCACTAGTCCAATTTCAACCAAACTTGGCAGGATTGATCCTTTGATGAAGGGCTTCCAAAGTTGTTCAAAGAATTGCATTCCATGCAGAAATCTGGTTGCCATGGCAACCAAAAGGAATTATATGAATGATTTTTAAAAAACTTTTTGTAAAGACCCAAAATGCCTAGAGCTTAGATATTTTGCATAAGGCATTGTCTGGAAGACTTCTACCAAGATTGTTGAAATTATAGCCCTGGGGTCAAAATCAGCCCCGCCCTAGAGGTCATTTGATTTTCACTATATGTACATATAGAAAAAACATAAAACATCTTCTTGTAAAGACCCAAAAGGCCTAGGGCTTAGATATTTTGCGTGTAGACCTCTACCAAGATTGTTCAAATTATAGCCCTTGGGTCAAAATCGGGCCCGCCGGGGAGGTCATTGTTTTAAACTATATGTACATATAGTAAAAACTTAAAATACTTTCTTATAAAGACCCAAAAGGCCTAGAGCTTAGATATTTTGCATAAGGCATTGTCTGGTAGACCCTTACCAAGATTGTTCAAATTACAGCCCTGGGGTCAAAATCGTCGTGTCCCCGGGGTCATTGATTTTCACTATATGTACATATAGTAAAAACAGAAAATACCTTCTTGAAAAGACCCAAAAGGCCTAGAGCTTAGATATTTTGCATAAGGCATTGTCTGGTAGACTTCTACCCAGATTGTTCAAATTATAGGCCTGTGGTCAAAATTGGCCCCACCCTGGGGGTCATTGGTTTTCCTTGTATGTATATAGTAAAAACTTCAAAAAAAATTCTTCTAGCAATTGACAAATGCTAGAGGTTAGATATTTTGCGTTAAACATTGTGAAGTGAACCTCTAGCAAGAGTGTTAGCTCTGGGGTCAAAATTGCCCCCGCCCCGGGGATCATTGATTTTCAATATATACATATAGTAAAAAATCAAAAAATCTTATTGTCTGAAGGTACAAGGCTTAGAGCTTTAATATTTGTTAAATGATATCATCTATAGGTACTCTTCCAAAGTTGTTCAAATTTTGCCTCTAGTGTCAAAATTAGCCCCACCCCGGTGGCCATAGGTTTCCTAATATGTATATAGTAAAAACTTAAAAAATCATCTTCTCTAAATTTACAAAGGCTAGAGTTAAGATATTTTGCATGAACCTATTATGTAGTGAACCTCTAGCAAGATTGTACAAATTATAGCCCTGGGGTCGAAATTGGCCCCACCCCTAGGGGTCATTGATTTTTACTATATACATATAGTAAAAAATTAAAAAATCTTCTTATCTGAAGGTACAAGGCTTAGAGCTTTGATATATGGTATATTATATCATCTATGGGTCCTCTACTAAAGTTGTTTTAATTATGCCCCTAGTGTTAAAATTGCCCTGCCCCAGAGGCGATAGTTTTCATTATATGTATAAAGTAAAAACTTGAAAAATCTTCTCTGAATTGACAAAGGCTAAAGGTTAAATATATGGCATGACACTGCGAAGTGAACCTTTACCAAGATTGTTCAAATTAAAGCCCCAGGGGTCAAAATTGGTTCCACCCCGGGGGTCATTGATTATCATTATGTACATACAGTAAAAAAATAAAAAATATTTTTGTCTGAAGGTACAAGGCATAGAGCTTTGATGTTTGCTATATAATATCATCTATAGGTCCTCTAGCAAAGTTGTTCAAATTTTTCCCTTGGTGTAAAAATTGGCCCTGCCCGGGGGCAGTGATTCTCATTATGTACACATAGTAAAAACAGAAAATAAAAAAATGTTTTCTGAATTAAACCCTTGGGTCCAAAATTTTTATTTTGCCCAAGGGGACAGTGACCTATTTTCTTGTCCTTTGATGTACAGCAATGAAATTTTGATCATGTGCACAGTTTTAGTTGTAAAATTGAACTTTGGTATCAGGTGACCTAGATTTTGATGATGTGACCTACTTTCTTGTCCTTTGATGTACAGCTATGAAATTTGAACCATGTGCACAGATTAAGATGTAAAGTGAATTTTGATTTCAGCTGACCTAGATTTTGACAAAGTGTCTTACTGTGTTGTCCTTTTATGTAGTCATGAAATTTAGGCTGTGTGAAAAATGACCTTCACCACCAAATTCACTAGACTCGAGTGCATTGATATATTGCTACTCTGATCTTTTATTGAATTAACAACAGATTTAACCACTAATCTGATAATAAGGGATCTATGCATTATGGCAATCTTCAAAATTGTATAGAAACAAAAAAAATCTGTTCCTACACTACTATTTAGTGTTGTATTAATGCGGTGGCATAGCATTTTTCTCAAATGCAATCTTGTTTACTGAGTTATCGCCCTTGAATATATAAAATGTTTTGCCCTGTTAATCATTTTTGTGTCTAAATCCTCTACACTGAAGCTGCAACATGAAATTGGCCATCATGAGGCGACACATGTGATCACTGATTGCTCTCGTATATAGAAGAGCATTTACAGTAATTCTAACTCCCACTATCTTGTCTTAAGTCTTGCTGAATAATGTCTGCATGTCCATAAGAAAAGTGAGGTTGGGTATGGGAATGAATCTGTTGCCAACAGCATAGTCCACAATAGGCACTTTTAAATTGAAGGAACATGCCTTTTAGTAACAAATACATTATGCACAGATCTACTGACTGATCTGTATTGCTTAATCACAAAATTGTTTTACTCAAGTTTTGTCCAAAGGGATGACAAGTTCTTGCCAGGGACATGACCCTCACAAGCTGTAAGGGTAATCAATTTGTTAAAGGTTTGGATTAACTTCATTTTAAGAACACAAGAAACAATATTATTACGGTTAAGAACTTTGTGTATATTTAACTCAAATTGACCTTAGTTCATTTATGACCTTGACCTTGAAGGTCAATTTATTGAATTTTCACAGATCTTTGAGAAAATTTACTACCCTGGTAATTAATATGTAGGTTATTTTCATAATTGGATTAAACAACTTTTAGGATAGGACCATTAAAAGGTTGAACTAACCTTGATCTTGAGCTTTAAATGACCTTGACTGCCAAGGTCAAATTACTGAATTTTGGTTAAATTGTTTTTATTTTGTATGAACTTGATTTATATGATATCTGGGCAAAATAAGACTTTATTACAAACAAATATATTTGATTATTTAGATTTGATCTTAGCCTATAAGGTCACATACAGTCAAGATCAAATTATTGATTCTTGTTAAAATATAACAACTTTCATATTTATAAATGAACTTGTTGAACACTTGGACAAAACAAGATTTGTTACCAAACAAACATATTGAGTCATTACGATGTGACTTTGACCTTTAATTCAACTAGGCAGTTAAGGGCAAATTATTGAATCTAGGTTAAATTGTCATGATGTTGTTATTTATATAAGGATTTGTTTAATACTTTGGCAAAACAAGACTTGCTACCTAACAAACATATTGCAAAGTTTCAGATGTAAAATTCAACTTTTGTATCAGCTAATCTATCAAAATAAAAAAGATAAAGTTTTATTTTCACTCTTGCTTTAATTTCTTTCTTAAAGAGCACAGGGTGGAGGCTCAGGCTACAGACACTCATGAGAACATATTTGAGGTCCTGAATACAGCAACTCAGATCAGACAAGAAGCCCAAACTACAGATAATTCACAGGACAAACTAGAGGCCCAGACTACAGAAAATCTGGAGATGATGCTGGAGATCCAAACTACACACAATCTACAGGACATATCAGAGGCCCAGACTACAGAAAATCTAGAGGTCATGCTGATGACCCAAACTACAGACGATCTACAGGACATATCAGAGGCCCAGACTACAGAAAATCTAGAGGTAATGCTGAAGACCCAAACTACAGACGATCTACAGGACATATTAGAGGCTCGGACTACAGACGATGTAGAGGTTGTGCTGAAGACCCAAACTACAGACAATCTACAGGACATATCAGAGGCCCAGACTGCAGAAAGTCTAGTGGTCATGCTGAAAACCCAAACTACAGACAATCTACAGGACATATTAGAGGCCCAGACTACAGACAAGGTAGAGGTTGTGCTGAAAACCCAAACTACAGACAATCTACAGGACATATCAGAGGCCCAGTCTACAGAAAATCTAGAGGTCTTGCTGAAGACACAAACTACAGACGATCTACAGGACATATCAGAGGCCCAGTCTACAGAAAATCTAGAGGTCTTGCTGAAGACACAAACTACAGACGATCTACAGGACATATCAGAGGCCCAGTCTACAGAAAATCTAGAGGTCTTGCTGAAGACACAAACTACAGACGATCTACAGGACATATCAGAGGCCCAGTCTACAGAAAATCTAGAGGTCTTGCTGAAGACACAAACTACAGACGATCTACAGGACATATCAGAGGCCCAGACTTCACACAGTCTAGGGAATATGCTTGAGACATTGACTACAGACAATCTACAGGACATATTAGAGGCCCAGACTACAGACAATGTAGAGGTCATGCTGAAAACCCAAACTACACACAATCTACAGGACATATCAGAGGCCCAGTCTACAGAAAATCTAGAGGTCTTGCTGAAGACACAAACTACAGACAATATACAGGACATATTAGAGGCCCAGACTTCACACAGTCTAGGGAATATGCTTGAGACATTGACTACAGACACTCTAGAAAACAGGTTAGATGCCGAGATTTTATTCAGTCTGGAGGATATGATGGAGGCCAAGACTACAGACAATCTAGAGAAAATGCTAGTGACAAAGACTAAAGACAGTCTGGAGAAAATGCTAGAGAACCAGGCTACAGACACTCCTGAAAACATGTTAGAGACCATGACTACAGACAATCTAAAGAATATGGTGGAGGCTGATACTAAAGATGTAAGTATGCTTCAAATTGCATTACAAAAGTACATTTTGAAATCTATAAACAACATTTATATATGTCTACATACATAAAGTCTACTAAACTCTTTCTTGGAAGAGCTTATGATCTTTTTTTCAACATCATTTGTGTGACAGCGACTTTGGTTTTAACCAAAGTGTTCCCTTGGGCCATTTTCTCTCAAAACAGCATTTACAGTCTAAATCTTGGTAACTGTGGTAATGCTGGGTCAGTGAAAACTTGACTAGAAAATCCCCATACTTTTTTTAGCTCACCTGAGCACTATGTGCTCAGAGGTGAGCTTTAGTTATGGTACTTTATAGGTTGTGGCTAGTAGTTTACTATTTCTTTGAATAAGATCTCCTTATTAACCACATGATCTGTTTTTACAAAACTTAGCAAGATTGTTCCTCATGTCATCTTTTACAAGATTAATATAAAAAGTTCCAGTCTGATGTTTAAGTAGGTCACAAGAGCTAAAATAGGTTAAAAAATGCAATCTTAAAAAAATCCTTTTCTTATAAACAACAACGTCCAGAGCTTAGATATTTGCCATGTAGCATCACCTTGAGGTCCTGTACTAAAGTTATATAAATCATGTCCCTGGGGGTCAAATTTGTCCCCCCCCCCCTCTGTGTGTCACATAGTTGATGTAGAGTTCTATAGGAAAACACATTTAAATCTTGTGGAAAACTTGAATGTTTTTATCTTAGATATTTGTCATGTAGCATCGCCTAGTAACCTTCTACAAAATTTACATAAATTGTTCCAGTCTGATGTATAAGTAACAAGACCTAAAATAGTCTGTTCTGTTTATCAACTTAAAATTGCAGTTCAGACATTTTCTGAAACTGAAGTCTAAATTCATGTTTTGTTTGGGTGAAAGCCTGCTGTCCTGGGGGTTGGGGGACTGGATGTCATTTTGAGGTAGGGACTTAATCTGTAAATATGAAACAGAAGGTTAAATTATTCAACAGACTGGCCCTGATTAGCTTATATGTGACAAGTGTTTCATTATTTAGGAAGCCTTTGTTGCTTTTGTGCTGTTGTGATGATAAAAGAAAGCACATGTAGTAAAATTGTTATCTTGTTATTGATATATAAGCATGATATAATCGTATACTCAGCGCACTGAAAAGTGCTTCTGTTCAAGTGAAAATTCATTATTTATCACACCTGTATTCAAATATTTATTAATTCAATTTGTTAAAATTATAATTAAACAAAAGTAAGTACTGAAAAAGCCTGAAGCAACAAAAAAATCCTTTGTACACATCCAGACATTACTCGTTAGAACAACTAGTTGTTCCTTTTCATTGCATAAGGTTCAGTGTGTACGGAAGTTTACATTCAGGATAATTTGTAATAATAACAACTTCATCTGATCTGCAAATTCAATTCATACATACTAATTGTAAGCCCAATATTCTCTTGTTATAGATATTTATTTTAGTTTTAAATTGGCATAAACTTTTTTTATGACATATACCCACAATGAAATGTTTTGGTCTTTTAAGGAAAATGACAATGATTGTTAATTCGCTGGCAAAATATATATCACTTCAGTTTTCCACATATAAGGGATAATGAATAAATTACTAAGAAAATGTGACGATTTGCAAATTATGAGTAAAATAATGCTATATTGGTTAACAAAAAAATTTGTCTTGAAACATTTCGTACGTAAACATTTTCCTCCCCTTAAATATATTCCCTGTTGATGATGATTATTTCTATGGAATAAATGAAGTATTTCATTTAGATATTAAAAGTTATAGCTTTGATTTTTGTGTGGGATCACTTCTCTGTCGTCTGTCGTCCGTCACAAAACTTGTCCGGACTACTCCTCATACACTGCTGGTGCAATTTTCATCCAAACTTTACAGGAATGATCAGTACCAAGTCTTAGTTGTGCATATTGTCAGCATTTTCCGGTTCAATGATTTTTGTCAGAGTTATGGCCATTTAATAATTTTTATTTTTAAAGTTTGTCCGGACTACTTCTCTTATACCACTAATGCAATTTCAATGAAACTTTACAGGATTTATCTGTAGCTCAAGTCCTAGGGCATATTGCACGGGTTTTCCGGTTTAATGATTTTTGGCCGAGTTATGGCCCTTTGATAAAAAGGTGTTTTTATCTGTGTGTTGCCAGATTCACAAAAGCTTGTCCGGACTACTCCTCATAAACTTCTGGTGCAATTTTATCCAAACTTTACCTAAATGATCAGTACCAAGTCTAGTTGTGCACTGTCCGTCTGTCACAAAACTTGTCCCAACATAAAATTGGCCATCATGAGGCGACACATGTGATCACTGATCGCTCTTGTTTTAATATAATGAAGTAATAATACCACATTTGAATGCTATTTAAAAGTTAAGTAGCTCTGTTTGACATTGTTTTCTTATTTGCTTTCATTGCAAAAGTAAATTTGTTTCTGTTTTGTTTTTTTATATTCATATTTGTGAATATTTATTAATATATGTTACTACATATCATGACTGCTCATTGTAGACCCATATGAGGAAGATGGCAGTGCAACCTTCCAGTCTGAAGTCTATACAGGCTGCTGCAGAGGAGCTGATCAAACAAACCAATGATCTGCAGGATTATTGTGTGAAAGGTTAGTGCCTGGCATTCACTAAACTTAATCAATCAGAAATATCTGCAAATTGATATGATCGCACAAAAAAACTAACATTGTTGACAATGAAATCAATATGTTTCAGTTTTTGTAGCTTCACTGTTTGATCAGAGTCAGCATTTTGTCATTATTAGGTCATTGCTGACTTTCAGTATTTCAGAGAACAATGTTGGTCCTTATAAGTTATCAAACTGTACATAAGTCAGACATAGTCCTTAAGCATTGTTTGTTTTATCACGACTTGCCTAATATAAATATTAAGATATCAACTGCTTTTATGACATTGCAGATCACAGTCATTTGACTAATTCTAATTCCAGATTGTTCTCAAGGCACCAACAAGTTTTTGAATGACCTACAGCATTTGTCATGTGAGCTGAAGCACCTGTCCAACAGGCTAGTCAATCAAAAGTCAGGGATGGTGTCAAGCCTTGCTCCTGAAAAGCGAGAAAACCTAGATGTGAGTGTCCAGTACTAGAACTGTAGACTCATTAAATTTTTAGCTTTATTTACACACTCTGACAATTGTAAAAAATCTAAAACCAGGGCTAAGATTCAAACTAGGATTTGTTTTATTTGCCACTGAATGCAGAGGAAATGGTAATTATAAGTATGTTTGTATCATAACTGTATGTATGCATCTTGTTAAGTTTGTCCAGAGGATAACCTGATTTACACAAATCATGGAAAATAAGTAAGTTACTAGATGAGTGTCTTGCCTTTCATATTTAAGTAAAGAGATCCTTTAACATGGTGTATGTCTGTCTTGGACAGCCTTGGGAAAAAGGCATCTGTGACATGTAATGTGATTTGTCTCTTACTCCTCAATTCTGAGGTACAAGCCTGTCTGATGGTAAAAGAACAGCATTATACAGACTATACATTGACTGATATTGTCTTAAGCTTAATGTCTAATTTGCTGAATACTTATCATTATAAGGCCTAAAGCTAGAGAGTGCTTTCATCTACATTAGTACAGATCTCATCATTGGTAATAAAGGTTGTTTTGAAGAAGCAAATCCTCTAGGAATCCATTTTAATGAAAGACATTTCCAATGCCAACTTCAGTAGTGAAATTCCTTGATTGGTGATGGGCTGTTGAAGAATAAAATTGATCTTTCCAACTTAAGTTATATATTAAAAGGTAAAAAGTTATTGGTTTGTGGTGTTTTACAGGAACTTGAATTACAGAACTTGAACATGAACCCACTCAACCAGCCAATAGATTCTTCTGCTGAATTGATGCAGATAGAAGACAAGCCCTTCCTGTCCAATGCCACCAGCTTGCACATCAGACAGGACAATACGGATTCTGGACTTGGTAAGACAATGACTTCAGTTTAATTTTCTCAAGTACTTTAAAGTGTCCTTCATTACTCTATATGTTGTGTCTCTGGTGTCAAGTTAAAAAGTCACACCTAAGAGGCAGGCAGCAAAAATTTAGTATATTCTTCTATTTCATCTGCAGTCCATAAGTTGGTCTTTCCTTAATGGATATTTAAATAGCTGCAAAATTGTTATATTATCATCAGACAGTGTGTCAAATTGAATTAAAGACAGAAGTCAGAGCTCCAAGGTCAGGGTTACACTGAAGTGGTCAACAGTAAAAAAAAAGTGTTTATTTCACAGGTCCAGTTCATACCATTGTCATTTCTTGATGTACTTTAAAAATATTTGCAAGTTTCATAACACACCTTTTTTATTGGCATGCACATGGATTTTAGGATTTATATTATTATTTGTATTATTCACCACACGTGATAGTTGTTCTTCCAGTTAAAATATAAATTATTATCTTTGTTTATGTCCAGATGTTGAGATGGGTGAGAGTGAAGAGTATATGCTCAAGGTGACCAATGATAGTGTTGTTAACATCTCCAGCAAGAGTTTCCAGAGTAAGTAGCACACTTGCATCTGTGTTTGGGAATACAATTCTACTTGGATTTAAAGTATTAATATAAGTTAATTAATATACCTTAAACATATACAATTGATTATTTATATGGCATTGGGCCTCATTAGCTTTGTTTTGTTCTATTGTCATGGACATACATACTAAAACACCATGGGAATGAAATTCACCAGTCCATATTAGCTCACAATCCAGGAGTCAAGAGTGAGAGTCACAGACCTGCCACATAATTTAGAATTAGTGTCAACGATTTATGACCAGTGGCAATGTTAGTGTAATGATATCACAATGAAAACAATACTTTTGTGACTTAAAGGTTTCCTACCAGATTTTATGACCTTTATAACCTGTTTGTGTTTTAAAAATCACAGGAATGTTGCATTTGTCATTTATTTTTTATAAATCATATGAGAAAATTAGACCTAGTGTTTAGAAATCAGCAGGTAAAACAGTTACTTGTGATTTCATTTATTATTGGTAACAAATATGCAACAATCTAATTTGCTTTTTAAAATTTGTGGTATACCATTTAAGAGTCCTTGAATTTTTCTGGAGAAAAATTGGGAATCCTGTAATATGGGTTTTATAAAGAAACAAAAGCACATGTGATTATGTGAAAGGGTTTTGACCCTAACTAAAGTGTATGTGTTAAATGTATATTTTGCCAGTATAATAATCTTGTGTGTCCCAGAGTTGTTAAATTATACTTGAATATTTCAGAAAGGCAAGTTGCTGTGGTTGATCCGTCTTGGAAAACTCCTGAAAATAAATTTGGACATGATCTTGTTGACCCACCATCAGATGATGAAAGTATTGTACTGTCTTCTGGTTCAAGCTATGTGCCATCAGGACAGTCAGGAGAGGGTATGCCTATTTCTAAGACATAAAGATTGGCTACCATAATTTAAATGCTGTTTATAAGCTCACTTAAACATGAAGTGTTCATTTGTGGTTTGAAGTCCGTTTAACCGAAGGGGACTTTAGGTTTACCCTCCGTCCGTCTGTCTGTCAGTCCGTCCGTCCACAAAACTGGATCCCGCGATAACGCAAAAAGTACTGAAAATATTTTTATGAAACTTGATATATAGATAGATGGCAGTATGGAGATTATGCACAACTTTTTCTTTTGTTCCTATGTTGAAAATTCTGGTAGCTATGGCAACAAATAGTCTGAAAATATGGCAAATTTAACACATAAACTGGATCCAGTGATAACTCAAAAAGTACTGAAAATATTTTTATGAAACTTGAAATATGGATAGATGGCAGTCTGAATATTATGCACATCTTTTTCTTTTCTTCCTATGTTGAAAATTCTGGTTGCTATGGCAACAAATAGCCTGAATTTCAAGATTTCTGATTTAAATTTTTCAGCTTTTTCACTATAATATGTATAAGTTCTTTATTTCTTAAGGTGTGTACTTCAACTTTAAGCATAAGTTTCTGCTCATCAACCACATCATATGTGACAAGGTTTACAACTCTAGCACAAAAATTATCAGTATTACCTCCCTTGAACTTAGAATTTTTATGGAAAAAAAATGTTGTCTTTTTTAAATAACTTCTTTATTTCCTAATGTATCTACTTCAAACTTCATATATATGTTTCTTATTATCACTCAACATTTTTGAGAAGGTTAAATACTCTAGCAAGTCTATTTCCAGAATTATGTCCCCCTTGAACTTAGATTTTTTTCAAGAAATTAGTATTTTTTACTCCAACTTCTTCATTCCTTATAGGATTTACTTTAAAATCCCACATCGTAATAATATGACAAGGTTGTATAAACATAATTTCCTTACTAGGCAGGGAAACTTAACACATTACAGTGATATAGATAAAGTTAGAACTCAAAAGATTTAAGTTCATTCATGCCATTCATTCATTCATTCATTCAATGGTATAATTAAATGGCCAATGGCCCATCAGAATGTTGCTGGGGTTCTAACCAGTAGGGGACTTATCGATTGCTTGCAATACTATGATAATTGCTTGTTTTTCATTGGAGCTCCCCCAGGAGATGCTTTGGTAGTTTAGCGCGGAGGAATGTAGTCTAGTACTGGTGTAACTCTCCAGGAACGATGGTTAGGAAACTACCCGCCTATATGACTGAAATACTGTTGGGAAAAGGCGTAAAATGAAACAAACAAACAAAACATTGGAGCTCACTTATAACGAACATGCTTATAACGAAAAAAATGGTTATAACAAACTAAAATATGTTTCCTTACCTTTTACCCTTCTTTATTTATATGTCTTTTGACATGCTTATAACAAATTTGGATACAGCGAAAAAACTGATATCACAAAGGATTGTGAAAGTCCTGTGATGCATATTTTAATGCAAATCTGCACGTATTTAGTGAATTTATTTTTCACAGTATTTAAAACTGATTATAGGTAATTGCTGATGGCAGTTTATTACCGTAACCGGTTATACATTTAAAATATTGCTATATTTGTTATCACACATTTGCCTGTAAAGAAAATTTTTATACTTGTAAAAAAAAAAGGTGTTAAAACTATCTGTTTGTTAAGAATAAGTCAAAGCAGTCCCATATATACTGATGTGATTTCGATGATTTTGGAGTGTTGTCAGGCTAATACAGTTTATTTTGTGATATCTAGTGAAAGTGAAGAAATGAATAGAGGTTTCTGTAAGCTGTCACTAAGAGACTTAATTGCGAATTCTTAATGAAATGGAGAAAGTGTTTAAATATAATTTTTTGAATAGATTGGCAAAATGTTTACAGATTAAATTATGATCAAGTTTTTTATTATTGTGTTTGTTGATAGAATATCATAAACAATGATTTAACTTATTAACATGCATTTTGTAGTTTGATATAATGTGAATGATCTATATCTTTTAATATGACATAGATATTGAACAAGTTGCATTAATGACCATAACAAAATTGTTATATCCAAACATTATAACAAAATTTGTTGTATGAATCCCAGGAATATTGGATATAACGAAGCAATATTCTAAGTCCCAAAATTTTGTTATAAACTTGTATCACTGTTCTTGGTGAGCCTTAATGAATGTTTGAGGAACTGTATGAATATGCTAAATTTGAGTCAATATAAATTGGAATTTGATTTAAAAAAAAACACTAAAATTAATGGTCAAATGAATATCCGATTTTAACATTAAAGGCCCAACTGGACTATAAAAGCCAGCAGATGGCACTAGGGCAGGTTTCTTATTAATTTTATGCATGCTTCACTTCAGGGACCCTTTTTCAAAGATTTAAGATTAATTACCAAATGCATTTAAACAACACTTGGCATGTATGTAGGCATAGATATTCTTGATATAGATTGACCAAAATTATTCAAAATAAAACTTTGTTAAGTGTGTTTCTGGAAAAATAAATACTGGCTGTCAAATTTGAAATTTGAATTTCCATGGGAGGAGCCAACTGATCATTACAGGTCATGAACCTTCAGTAGTAAACAGATGCACGTGGCAGTGTTTATTTCAGTGAGAGAGATTTGTAGCAGACGACACATTCTAATGCTGAATACATGATAAGAAAAAACAATAACTTTTACTGATCTTACTTTATCAAAAAGTATTTATATCCATCAAATTTACAATAATCCATTAATCTATGATTTTTTTTAATTTCAAAGTACTGATTCAACTTGTATTTAAATGGTTTAAACTTCATGAAAACAGTAAAAGTAACTTCCAGGTATATTTCATTTACACTATATTTTGTTGTAAATATCTTGTAGAAAAAATTACATTTCACAAATGTTTATCATTTGTATAAAAATTTTATATATTAATAGTTTAAAAATATTTTAAATTCCTGTCAAGATCATTTTTAGCAGTTTTTCTTAAAAGAAATGTCCCATGTAAGGCACATCCTTTGGATTTGGACATAGTTGTCTGACTTGATGAAAAACAACTGACTTCAAAAATAATATCTGGACAAGATGGCTTGATAATGTCTTTTAATTAATCTGATTAATCTGTGAGTTATATAAAACATCCATTAAACCTCTCCTGTGTAAAATCAGCTGTTTACATTCTCTCTGCAGGTTAACACTGCATTCTATTTTTAGCTCATGGTTTATAACAGACAGTTTTACATCACTGATTAGTCTTACCCACAAATACTCTCTGCTGCGGCAGCGAATGTTGCCCCTTTAAAAAGACAAATAATAAAATTCAAATAACAAAATCTTTTCAACAGAGCTCCAGATAATGTACTTTTTTAAATACGTTTTTTTAAATGATTAAATAAGTTTATTTTCAAAATTTGTGTATCAATTCTATTTCATCTCCATTATTTAATGAGGAAGCTATACAGCTAGCTTAAGGAATGTCGGTGGTTCTACTCAGGTAAAGCTGGAATGTCGCCATATGACCTATACTGTGTTGATGTGAGGTAAAACCCAAAACAAACAAATCTCCATTATTTACAAAATAATTGCAAATATTGAGCCATATTGAAACTTGCGCATCAACCTGTAAATTTGGAAGTGTAAAACATGTGTCAATTAACTTTTCAAAACCCTCTCCACCATGACGTCATCAAGTCATGACTTCACAAATGTTAATGTTGGAAAAATATTTTTTACTTAATTTGTGCTATTAATAACATACTATTTGCTTATAAAATATTTGTTCTTCCATGTTTATTTTGTTTTTATTATGTTTATATAAAATATACATGATATTTACTCTAAAGAGATAAAAAATTACACTTACGAATGGGGAACACCTATCATAAAGTTACGACAGATTTTACACTTAAGATTTTCTTAAGACATTTTGTGAAAAGAAGATTTATTGTAAGATTCCACTTACGATGAAAATTTGTTGTAAGTTTTTTTGTGAAAATGACTGCTGGGCTATTAGTTAGATGATGGATTTATTTTTGATTTATTGGATTTGTTTGACTCAATGATGATAGACAAAAATTATAGAATTTGTTTTTTAAATTTAATTAAAATAGCAATAAATGCAAAATTCTTTAATTTTGTGACCCGTTTTCAGGATGATATAAATTTATATGCAAATGATGAATAATACCAATGAAGGGGCTGGAAAGTGACCTGAAAAAATCATTTTCTCTTTGAAAGGATTTCGAAAAATTCTAATCTGTCGAAATTCTAATCTAGTAGCGGTGTGAATATTTAACATATTCTTGATCTACAGTGAATCAAATGTGGAAAATGGTATCACATAGGATATATCTCTAAACTTTTAAAATTGGTAGTTGTTTAGAATTTTCATTTGTACATTAAGTTTTTTTTATCAAACATGTTTATATCGAACATATGTATAAAAACAAATGTATATATTTGAGTATTAAAAAACAAATATTGGAACATCAAATTCCATATTCATTTTTGCTGTCCAAGAAAACATTTGCGAATTTATTTTCTTTTTTTAAGGGTCTTTTACAACTTATATTGGATCTGCTAGCTGTCTATCATTTGAAACCTATCTTGTGAGCTCTATATTTAAATATGGGGTATATATTATTAAATATGGAGTATATATATATATATATATATAACGCAAAGTGTACATGTATGCGCCCCATAAATGTGTAAAGCTATTACTTGAAGTGAACAAAAGCTAGTATATGCAAGTCATTGTAAGATTTTCTGTGAATTCAGACTTTTATCTTTTATACCTATATTTTATATATATGAAATTTTAGGCTAGAATTTATGGAGAATACAATGATACATGTATGTTGTTTTACAATACAACCTGTATTTGTATTGTATTTTACAGAAACTGATGAAAGTGAAGATGATGATGCATCTGTTATTATTCCTGAAATACACACAAACAAGAGATCTTGGAATACCTCTCAGAGAGTTACTGCTG